ATATATACATCAAACAAATTCTCACGTTCCACTATATATATATACGTTCCACGTATATATATATATATATACACACACACATGTGCACATGACAGCCTCTGTCAAACACTTCACAATCCCTTCTCAGCACGTTTTAGTTTTAGTAAGGTTTTAACGTCGCTCGCAACTTATCTGCACATCGGAAAACATGCACAAAGAACAAGCATGAAGGATGGATGGTCAGCTCAAGAAGGAGGAGGAGGGAAGATTCATACAAGTAATTAAGTCATCATCACCTCAACAATAATCAGAAAACAAAAGCTTCCACCCGCCTGATACTTTATGTAAAATCTGCCTCGAGTCGTAGCTGCAGGAGTTGTCATCACAAGGTGGGCAATGAAGGGCGCGCCCAGAGGACAGTAAGCACAACAGAAAACAACAGGAAACGGAGAACATCTGGTTCATCAACAACACATGCAAGTGAAGATATTCAGGGAACAGTTAGAAACATTTGGTAATCACGATCGATCAATACGTACTGAATATGACGTTGCTGACTGACGGTAGAGAGAGGATTCCATAGATGAGGGAAATGTTTCGCATTCGAGTCAGCGAAATAAACTTCTGAAAGTTTTCACAAACTCCCAACACGTCGCTATCTTTCTATCTTCCTAAGTAAGGTCAAGCGCTCATCTCATCTCTTTGTTCCTCTCTCACTCTCAGTCAATATATAATATATATACCTTTGGCATCTCCAACTTTCAACATGGTTATTGAGTAAGATCATGTAGCACAAGATACACACACACACACACACATATACACACACACACACACACACACACATACACACACAAACACATACACAGACAGCAAAAAGAAACCACTGAGAGAAAGAACAGGTAGGCCCAAAACGTAAGCATCTCGTCCCTCTTAGAAAAAAGTGCCTCAAAAATATAATAAAGTTGAGTGGCAAAACTCAGCCAAACTTTGACAGCCCACTTTCTTCTATCTCACTAGTAAGTAAAAGCCTTTCTTCTAAGTTAAGAAATATTTTATTCTCTTTTTTCCCCTCCCTTCATATTCATTAATAAAATGCTGACAAAACTATAAAGAAGGAAAAACACCACCATCCCCCCCCCACCCCACACACACACACACCCCAAAAACAACATACACACTCTGGAGCATACACAGCATCTAAAAAATTCAAAACTACATTGCAATAAAGATCTACAGAACAAACCTTTTCGGCAACTCGACGACCTTGAGCACTTGAATTATTTACACCATCTCAGTAATTGTTTAAATCACGACCACTCTTCTGATCCACAAGGAGAACATGAATCAGGAGGTGCAAAATAGAATGATATTTCTGGTTTGGATAGGATGTATCAAAGTATTTGGTTTTAGCTGTAGTAATAGCCATCTTGCTTTCTGCAAAAAAGAAACTTTCTCACAGCAACCGTCAGAGTAAAACAGTGGAAAAAAACCAGACCAATCAGGGGAGGCGAAGGATGGATACACACGGCCAATATGGCAGTCAATGAGCCACCGACACTCAGTGATGGATACACCTAATAAGTAGGCTATTTTGGGTCACACTTTGCCGGCACATCTCAGCGATCGGCCATGTTTACCACCAGGTTTCTTTGGATTATCCTCAAAATGCCTTTGCCTTTGATGGCAAGAGTTTTCACTACGGTATATTTGAGTCTTGTGATAGCAGTGTTTATCATCAAGACGTTTAAAAATGTTTAAAAAACAAAACAAAACCGCTTCATCTCATACAAGAAGAGTGGAGGGGGTGAGTGGAGAGCCCACTTAACATATAGAAACAGTAGGCGTCAGATCATTGACAAATTGAGCAACCACAGAGCCCCCAGATGGTGCTATCCAGTTATTAAAGCAACAAAAAGCCGGTCCAAGAAAGAGGAACCTAACGGGGTATTTTGTTTTCCCCTCAGTCTACTCAAACTTTGAAATAAAAAATATAAAACAAAACAAAACTGAATCCTGTCAAAAAAAGAGAGACGTCAACTGGCAAACATGTCAACTTCTATTGCTTGTGCTGCTGACTTTTTAACACTTTACGGTCACTTGGTGCAATAATGCGCGGGGGAAAAATATCCGTTCCGGTCACCGAGCGCAGTTCTGCCTCAGGCCTGAGAAGTCAGTTACAGTCGCTCTCCTGGTTAGGGGAACAGATGGGGTATTTTGTACTGGATGACCAGATTGAGTGTTTTGTACTGCCAGCAATGTGACTGCAAAGTGTTTTGTATTAGACAACAAATTGCTCAAACTCAAACTGATTTCTTCTTGCATGACCACGATGACTTCAAGAAGAGCAGGACAAACCCTAAGTTTTAGCTCTGTCCAAGCACTCATCTCTAGAAATGTTCTACAGTTGGGGGGGGGCACACTCCAAATGAAGACTCTGGTAGCTGGGAATAAGACTACTAAACAAAAAGTCAACTTGTGAACATACATAATATTTCTGAGCTAAAATTGCATTTTTGCATGCAGCAATCTTTTAAAACAAAGAGAAAATAATAAATCTGTATCCATGTACTTACTAAAAGAACATGTTTGATGGTGAGAAAATAACAGAAGCAATAATTATAACAATAATGATAAAAATAATAATAATAAGAGAAATAACAATAATAACTATAACAAATTCTAATAGTGATAGCAGTAATGACAATAACAACAGCAGCCTGAGAGTGGTGTTAAGTATGGACACTTGACATAAAAGAATGGGCGGTCACTGAAGTCTTAATAAAAACATGTTATTTGGTGTGAAGGACAGGCTAATGTTACAAAACAATCAGCATAAACAAAAGATTTCTCCAACAAGATTTACAAATTGAGTTCCTCGAAATGACGCAGAAAAAAAGGTAAATTGTGTCACGACGCGGTGAAATCAGGCACTCGTTAATTTTTGGGCATGCGGAGTTATCGGTATCATCTTAGAACATGTTCATTTGCCTTGCTTTTGGTGAAAAAAGTACCCAGTTATCTTGGATATAAGTCGAGATATTAGCAAATGAAGGAGGTGGGGTAGCCTGGTTTCAGAGGTGAATTAGAGAAAAATGGCCTCCAAAGTTTAGTATTTCATTAGCTTGAGAGTCCATAGAAACTAAAAATTTACATATTTTAGGCCTTTAATCAATGTTTTTCAGTAAAATCCTCACAGAAATGTGTTGTGTTTTTTAATGGGTATGAAAGGTGGTGAGCCAAATATTTAAAATTCGATAAAAATTCCCAAATCTGCGAAAAAAAGCCAGTTTTTTCACTTTCTTTATTTTGACGGGCGCCTGATTTCACCACGTTGCCTCACTATTGTATGTCTGACAAAAATAGAACGTGATTAGATTTTCGATGGCGCAGCAATGACACACACACACACACACACACGCGTGTGCTGAGAAAACGTTGACAAAACACGACTCATAAAAAACCACACACTTTCTTCACACCTACACTCCACTTGTACCACCTTCTTCTACTCAGAAAAGGACGAGTAAAAAAACGCGTATATGCAGCAACACAATTCACATGATACAGTATTTGGAGGAAAACAACAACAATAACGGAAATATTTAAATCTACTACTGTATTTTTAGAGATCACAGCTGAGCGGGCCAGGTTTTGCAATCATTCGGACACTCACAAGAGATTCGGCGACTCTTGCTGCTAGCCACTTTGCACAACTCTCGGCTTTATAAGCTCCTCACCTCGCTTGACGTAAAGTCTTGTACTGTCCATGTATATATATATAATATATGCACACCGCACACTTTCATCCGACCATTTTGTCGACCTTTATATAGTACGTTTCTCAGATTCCCGGGCAACATAATCCACAGTGCATGAACGTTGGATGTCCACGACATTGCTAAAGCATCACGTATGGCTGTAAGAGTTAGATCTCTACTGGTATACTAGTATTAACTGTTGTCAACACCTTGTGAAGACTTCTGTTCTTTCTCTTTCAGCTCTTGTTGATCTTTCCAGTAGTCGTAGTTGAGCTGTAAATGGTTCATCAGTTCCGGAATATCACAGTAGACTGCAAGAACACAGAAACAAACAAATATGTCATTAGATTTCGACAACTCTAGACTCAGCTTTTGAACGAGCTAAATGCTCTGTTAAATGCCCCAAAAAAGTAATTTAAAACAGGCCCCATCTCCATGACATTTAGAGTATTCAAAGAAAACGCTCAATTAACAGACAGTTATATGAGATTTCTAGACACAAGAATGTATATATTTGTTAGGTTTTAGTAAAAGTTTTATGTCTTTGCCCCATGAAGGGGTCATATTATGGTCGCTTTTCAGGACAAGCGGGCTAACCCAGATTTTGGGGTTTCCAGAAATCTTGACCTACACCAAAAGTGGGCATTGCCCTACCTATAGGAGAAGTTTGGTTTCATTGGTGTGTATATTTGTTTGGTTATAGAGAAAACTCTCCTTGTCTTTTAAAGAAACTGAACAAGGGTCCAAAAACTCTGATTTTCTCAAAACAGCATTTTCCGGGACAGCCCGCTTGTGCTTAAAAAAAAAAAGTGACCAAATATACAAGTACCGCTGGTAAGTATGATGAAAAGATAGTAGCTCTGAGGGAAAAGATCAAAGAATATGTATGGTATGTGGGGCAATAAGAATACTAAGATTGTGACCAATCATACAACTTGACACAATTCCCTGGTTATAAATGATGAAAATGCTGAACAGCACTAAAGATTCTGCTGTAAACTGACAAAATGCCTTTTTTCATTTAAGCGCCAAAATTTTTATTTGCTAAAAATCAAAAGCCTGATCAGTTACCCTACTTGTGCGAAAAAACCAAAGTGAAACTGCGACTAATTTTTGAATAAATTTGAATTCAAAATTCTGAAGCACTCTACATTTCAATGGTTACAGTGACAAAAAAACCATTTTTCTCGAAACTACTGAGAATAAAAAAAGCGGCGTTTTATTAGTTTACGCCACAAAACTCAGCTGATAAAAACCTGTAAATTCTTCGCCACATCGACAGGCCGAAGGGCTAAAACCCGGATGGCTGCTGAATCGGAACAGTGAAGTAAAAGTATCAGCTTACGGCAGAACTGTAAAGACTATTTTGACTAGAGTAACAGCTAAGAGCTGACAACGCCACGTCGGTGGCCTAGTGGTTAGGCTCTTGGACTCGCAACCGTAAGGTCGTGGGTTCGAATCCCGTCAAGGGCCCGACATTGTGTCCTTGGGAAAGGCACTTTACACGAATTTTCCTCACTTCACCCAGGTGGGAATGGGTACCCGGCTATAGACAGCGAAAGATCTTGTCAGTTTGTTAGTGTTTGAGCGCTTAACCAGCTGCTTGCACTGTATGCTTCCCGGGATGAAGTTGAGAATGTTTCGGAGTGTTCTATGGTCTGCTGGGGTAATAATATAGTGTAAAGCGCATAGAGCCTGCTGTTGAGTGGGGATATGCGCTATACAAATGCTATCTATTATTATTATTATTATTATTATTATTATAATTATTACATGAGAGAATCTACTACTCACTGTCCCAAGCATCAAACATGTTGGTTATGAACAAGTTGATGAAAGCCAGCTGACACTTCGGGATATTGAGCACCTTGCGATCAAATTGAGCCATGACAACTGGGAGGCCTCGACTTTTCTCTTCGTCCGTCTAGGAGGAGAAAAAGAAGAAAAAACATAGTTTAGAGTTTAGGAAATTTCTCTGATGTCATCAGGAAAAGCTCACTCCAACCGGCTAATGACCACTCGTTCGAAATAATCACCGGTACAAACAACCACCTCTCACTCACCCCTTGTGGGTTCTTTTCTTCATATATATATAATCTCTCTCTCTCTCTCTCTCTCTCTCTCTCTCTCTCTCTCTCTCTCTCTCTATCTATATATATATATGAAGAGCACAGGGGAAAAAAGACTGCAGTCACAAACTGGAAATTGTGAGGACGCCAATTCTAAAAGCTTGTGGACTCATAACTTCATATTTGTTTGACTGGTGGTCTATTGGTAAGTGCTGTTGAATGGAAAATCTAACAGTAATAATCCACCAACAGTTGAACAGAGAACAGTTGAGCCAAAAAGTGTTCACATTTGGCACCCTCATGATTTTCAGTTTGTGACTACCGTCGTTTTGCCTCTGAGTCTTCATGTATATACATGTATATATTATGAGACTGTCCCAAAAGACCACCTGTCTAAGACAATCACTTTCTCCTCCACAAGAGGCGGTTGTCTTGGACATGGTCGACTGTATCTTCTTTAGTATTTTTAGTAAGAGTTTTACGGCACTTGCAACACAATAAGGGCATATAAGTGCCGAGACAGTGTCTTCAAAGAACATACAACAAAAATACATGTACCTCATTGAACAACTTTAATAGGAAAAAGTGTGGAGAAAAAAAAACAATAAAAAAAACCCTGCTATATTTCACTGTCTCAGAATTACATAGCTGTATCTGCTCAGTACACAGTTTTAGAGAAATTTGACGTGAAAGATTTTGAGATTCACATCATATCAAACTTTTTCAAATGCAATTCTTTAAATATCTTGATAGCAGCTCGTACACTCCAGTCCCCATCATTTTAAGTGAGAAAAATTTTGAAATTATGCAAACTGCGCCCAAAAATGTGAAATTATGCAATTCTGTTAATTTTAACAAAGAATGTTCAAGGAAAATAGTCAGAAATTATGAAAAAAATGATCAAATTTTGTTAAATTATGCGGGGTGGATAAAACCACCTGGACAGAAAAATCTTTCAGTTCTGACAGAGAACTGGCCACCCTACCACAGTACGCCGAAAGACCAGGAAGTTGTCTCACTAACAAGGCAATCCCCAATGTCCGGATCGGATGCGGGAACAACTTTAGTGCTGCCATTTGAATAGAAAACCTAGTATCCGACAAAATCAAGTATTGTCACAAACGACAAAAAAGAAAACTATTATACTGTTTAAATTGATACTCTCAGCTGTAATGTTTTGTATGTTCATTGAATATGTTCCGCTTCAAACTAAAATAGACAGAAGGATACATTTTTACTAAAACACAATAATATTTTAAAAAACAAAAACAATAATCTGCTCCCCCCCCCCCCTTCATTTTTCTGTTCCCACATTCATATATTATATAAATGGTTTTCCTTTTGACCCTATCGGTACGTCGTGTGTTACTATCATATCCATACGACGAGGGGAACTCTGTGCCACCACTTCCAAAGAGGAAATTTACTCGTTGATCCGATCCGTACACTTTGCATAGCAGTCTGTCAAAATGTTTTTTTGAGAAATACTGAAAGTTTCAAAGAGATCTTTGTACTAGAAGTATTCTAAAATGTGAAGAATACAACCCCGGGGGTACAAAATGACCCCAGGGCGTACGGATAGCGTTTAAAGACAGAGCAGTACGTACCTGCTGACAGTACTCTTCAGCTATCCTGTAGGCCCACTCCTTGCACTGCGACAAAGGTCGTAGAGGGTTGCTCACGTCCGCACACTTAATCATCATACGTTTGATGAGCGTTCTGTTCTCGTGCGACGACAGATCTGTCAGGATCGTGTTCATGTCAGCCTCATGAGCCTCCACCTGGAAGGAAAGACGATTAATCATCATCAGATTGAGAAGCCTTCCGTGACCACAACAAACAAGAATATGTGAAGCGTGCTGACAAAATGCGTTACTTCTCAGATTTGAGCCCAATAGAAATAGAAACATCATGCTTATACGTGAAGTTTTTACAATGTTTAAAAGTATGAAATAATAAAAAGCATTTCAGACAGCAAATATGACATCAATTAAAAATCTACAAGTTCGACCCTAGTGTTGATTTTTGGTCCATCTCTTCATTTGTGGACTGCGAGAATTAACTCACTTTGACAGCACACCTCACATATACATATATGCAAAAAGACAAATAAAAATGTGAGGCATCGTGGTGAAATCAGACACTTGTCAAAACAATGAAATCAAAGACATTGGCATTTTTCTGAAAGTTGGGCAATTTTTGTCTAATTAAAACTAATTTTCTTTTTTTTTGGCTCAACACCTTTTATATCCATAAATAAAAACACATTTTTGAGTGTGGATTTTACAGAAAAACATTGATTAAAGGCACCAAAGATGTCAATTTTCAGTTTCCAAGGGCTCTCAAGCTATGGAAATGACGAAACTATGGAGGCCATTTTCTTGCTAATTTCACTTCTGAGATTGAAGGAAGCCAGGTCACCTAGTTCCAGAGCTGAAATTACAGAGAAAAAAGCCCCCAAAGTTTGGTAAATCCGTTAGCTAGAGAGTCTTTGAAAACTACAAAAAAGACCAATTTTTTACCCAATCAAGGTGTTTCAGTAAAATTCACATGGAAAAAAATAAAAATTCGATGAGATTTTCCAAAGTGGTGGAAAAATGCCTGTTTCTCCGATTTCTGTACGTGGATGAGAGCCTGATTTTACCGTGATGGCTCATGGAGGATTTCTTTAAGAAGATTTGTTGGAAAGAAAAGAAATCAAAACAGATAGCGCTGAAAGAAGCCAATGTGACCTGCTCACTAAAAAGAACAATTAGGAAATGACAAATGCAGTACCTGGGACATACGAATCAACATAACAGCCTTCAACATCTCGCTTTTATGTGTGGAAAAAAAAAGGCAAATGAGGCAGGGGTAGACTTAAAACATGTTGTATACACTTGGCCACTTTTCACCACAAGTATCCAGATTTACTCGGGGCGCGGGGGTTTCCGTGCGGAGGAGCACAGGGATCTCTCGCTGTGGTAGTTCACGGGAAGTATATATATAAATAGGTCGCTCCCGGCCTTGGGGGGACTGTCGGAAGACAGAGATAGGAAGGGACGGAGCCAAGGTCCACACACTTTGCAGGAAATCTCCTATGCACTACACTTGTAGTGTAAAGAGCATAGAGCCTGCTGTTGAGCGGGGATATGCGCTATACAAATGCTATTTTTATTTATTTGTTATTTCGAATTGTTGTTTAAAATGTAGTAGTGCTGTGTTCCGCTACAAAACAAGTTATGTGGAAAACCTGAACAGACTGAGAGAGACCAAGAGAGTAGAGATTGAAGAGAGCAACTGAGCGAAGAAAGGAACGGAGAGCCGTGAACGTGCATGTCTGTGTCACTTTTGCCACAACAGGATGATGATGATGATGATGATGATGATGGTGATGATGATGATGATGATGATGATGGTGATGATGATGGTGATGATGATGATGATGATGGTGATGATGATGATGATGATGATGATGATGGTGATGATGATGATGGTGATGACGATGATGATGGTGATGATGATGCTGGTGGTGGTGATGATGATGATGATGATGATGATGATGATGATAATGTTGATGGAGATGGTGATGATGATGATGATGGTGATGATAATGATGATGATGATGATGAGGATGATGATGATGATGATGATGAGGATAATGGTGATGATGATGATGATGAGAACTAAGATGATAACTTAGATGATAACGTATATGACTTTGGTAAAACTTTGAATAACAACAAATTTTGTGAAAATCTTACAAGTCTCCACCGTTTTATATATTTTGTAGTCTACAACGATAACTTTGATGATGATGATGATGATGATGATGATGATGATGATGATGATGGTGATGATGATGATGATGATGATGATGGTGATGATGGTGCTGCTGCTGCTGGTGGTAGTGATGATGGTGATGGTGCCGCCGAG